AACATAACCGATTAGAACAGCCATCAGAAGGGACCCTCACTAGATAAGGGCTATGTTTCACTGCATCCAGATAGATGTTAAAGCTCATGTGAATAATAATAATTATTATTATTATTGCTGCTTTTTTGTTCTTAGTTGGTTTTGTTTAGGAGAGTGTGTCTTTTGTAATTATTATATATATATATTTATTGAAATATGTATATATATATATATATTGATTTCCTTTTAGAAATAAATAAAAAACAACAGAAAATAAGTTACTCGTAACATCGTATCAACAAATAATTGTAAAATATAAGCTAATTTATTAAAACACAATAACATTTGTTTTAAACTTTGCGCTATACTTAATATTGATCAATTTCCACACTTAATAAAGTATTGGTATTGCACACACACAACGGGCATGCCAGATTGTATTTTTTGTATATGAAATATTCTTTATTTCGTTTTTAATTCTCAGCGAAATTCAAAATAAGGAAATTGTGTTTTAATACTTATTTTCTTGTTATTGTATCATCCATCTATTGTATACGGACCTCAAGTCTTTCCATCCCGGGAGTGAAGTTATGATGATAATTATTTAATGTTGTTTGGACGATTGTGTAAGATGTATGTTCAGATAAAGAGACCACACAATTTATAACTATTACTTACTATGAGAGATAAAATAGAGTAAGTTCACACGCTTCAAGAATCAATCGGAATTTATTTACTTTTGGTTGTTTCTACCTGGCTTTATTCTGGAAGACTCTTATCGTCACGTAACTGCTGAAACCATGGCCTCTCACACATTTCGACCTTTTACAATCATGAAATGAAAAGTTATTAATTCGTCTAGAATTAAAAACAGAGTGGAACAGTTTAACCTCTCAGATCAATCATGTAGTACCTCCAGCCATGATACGTTTATCCGTTATTATGAGCCGGAGGGCTCCGAGGTTAAGATAAAGTAGCGGCAGTACCTGTAAGTGGACGTTTAAGTTATTAAATATGGACGTTTTGTGAAGTTCCACGGTCTGCCATACTGCCATCGATCCGAAGAAAGTATGTCAAATGCATTACCTGTGTACTGATTACAAATTGATGGTACTCAAGCATTTTATATTGTTCGTGCCCTTTAGTAACAACAGTCGTGATTTTGTTTGGCTGTTGTATTTTAATATATTTTTTTTATGTAATAGGTCGGCAAACGAGTGGACATATTACCTGATGGTAAGCAATCAGAGCCGCTGTGAGTGCCGAGTGCGTTGCCGACCTTTTAGGGATTAGGGTTTTGGAGATTTAGGGATTGGAGACGAATCGGGGAGAGGAAGGATAGGACCTCCGGTACCGTCACTCACGCGGCGAAACACAACGCTGTGGTTGTTTCACGCCGGTTTTCTGTGAGGCCATCCCACACTTTTCGATTAAATTTGAGTTTTATAACTTTCGCCGATCTTTATCAGATTCATTTGTTTCGGGTTAACTGCATTAAGAAATCTAAAAGCTCATATTAAAAATATCTCGTCTCTTTTTAAACATATTCGGGCTTACATAGATTGCTATTATTCTACGCTTTTCAATAAACTAGTCACACTAAGAAAATAGTTCTTTTAGTGTTGCCAATCTAATGTCTGAAGTGTAATGTTAAGTGGGCTACAGGTGCATGTCAGGTTGCGGAAAGACGCCGCTTAGTATGGAGTACTGGAAGGAACAGGTTGATGTTTAGTCAGTAGGTAAGAGTCTGACCACTCACTAGATAATTTTCCAACCACAAAAAAGTGTACCTTTCTTTTAGTTTTACAAGCAGAAACGTGGTATACAGTAGTTGCACTGAACCAGGTCACAACTATCAATGACATAGTTCGATCAAATGCGAACTTTAGCATTAAGACACCTATTTACTAAGAATAACGTGTAATTGTAAACTGTCGGCCTCACTCGTCAATGTTCTACAAATCAAGTTTGTACTTGAATTAAATAACAGGTTTAATTTTGCTACTTAACGACCAAACTGTTATTTAAATAATTAAGAAGTCATAGGAAATGCAGTTGTAATTTGTTTTCTTTTGTATTGTCTTTAAAGCTTGTTTTGTATTATAAATAAGAGGGTAGAATATTTTGTACTGATAGTCGAATGGTTGTGTGTGAAGGACTATTTTTCTGGGGAAAGTTATCAAGTGGTGCATGCGCGAATGTCAGACTCTTATTCACGAAAAGCCAACCCTGCTGCTTTTCCTGCTCTGCATTCATATCATTGCATTTGCACTCCCGGTTGGACATTGTTACTAGTGAGCTCCATCTACAGTCGTATAAGGTTTTTTGAGGCGCGCATAGAACGAAATACTCCTTACACTCGCGTCTGGTCGGCGGCGAAAACACTTTCTCGCCGGCTGCAAATTCAACTAATATAGTTTTTATAATTTATTATTCTTAGACAATTATATTGTAAAATTTTCAATTGATACCTTATAATTTCCATCTTTTAAGTAGTAACCTACGATCGAGTTCATAATGACCTTGAAAATAAACCGACCTTAACTTACCTTTAGTTACCAAGACATGAAGACAATTGTTATTATATACGCATTACAAACACAAACAGTTTCCTTACATCAGAGAATCCAGACAAATACGAAGTAAGTACAACAACAATACATATATAATAGTATTATATGTACATAATAGCCGACGGCTCAATTGTCTAACAGTATCGTCACTATACTAAAATATTATTTAACATTCAACGCCAGTCACAATTTACCACCTTATCTCTACAGGTGGATAAATTTGGAACTTCCAAAGCCCTTTACAAAATGATTGTAATTTCAGGACTGAGAAAATAAGCAGCGACATTGCCAGCTGCAAAGTTAAGTTGGTATTTTGTAAACGTGAGTTGCTGTCAGTTACAATCAAAACAATTTCTTGGACACGTGTTCAACCTTGTCCTTTCTTATAAATATTCTCTACTTTTTGTTACGAATATTATAAATATGTAGGCGATGTCCTTCAGGAATAAGTACAGGTTATGCCACAAATGGTACTTCCGGAAAATGTTATCTTTGTATATTTCAGAAGGAAGGCGAGTTTTTTCAGGCGTAGTATTTTTATTTTCCTCCTTTTCGTACGTCTTTGATACAATTTGACAGTATACGTATTCTTATCAAAATATGTATTTTCAGGAAAGGCTTAAAAAAGAGTAAATCTGAAAAAACACAGTTATTATTAATATACAGTTGGAATAGTGTATGTGAAATTGTAATAGTATGTTTGTAACCGCACCCACGATACAGGAGAAAATTCTAGTGTGGGGCAACGTTTATTCAAATAGATAAGTGAGTTCCCATAATAAGTATTTGAGTTATTGCAATTTACGAAAGCAGTTTCTGACCTGTTTTAATAAGACGGGTATCAAGGACTAATATTTCCTGCTAACGGTTAAATGGGTTAGCGTTTAAGCCCTTGACATTTTGCATCGTTAGGAACGTCTTCAGAATTCATCATATTTTAAATGTTATTTACTGTTTAATAAGAACCACTGAACTGATTGAATAAACACTTGGTTGTAATTTTCTCATAAATTATTATGCAAGATAATTATGACATTTTCGTCATATTTTACTTTACTATACCAAATATTTAAAGAGTATGGGATATATTGACAAATATCAGTTACAATCTAATATTCATGTTTTTTGGAAGAAGGAACTATCAATTTTATCATGCACTTTGGAAGTTAAAATGAAATCGAGAATACAATTCAAGGTCGCTTGTTGTCTACATAACATGGCATTAATAATTATAGAAACATCATTTGGTCATGAGTACAAAATAAAAACACTAAGAATTATGAGTTTAAAAAAATAATTGTTTCCAAAAATATCTATACTATAAATGTTTTTAAAAATACCTCATTTTGATATGATTAACAGTTAGGGTTTTAGTACTATTTTTAACTCTTTTAAGACAGTAATTATTTAATTTATTGCAAAAAAATAATCTAACTATCGCATGAAAATCATAGAATCAGATAGTGTTTATTTTATTAAATACTCCAGGGTATTTACTCAGCTTATACAAAAGAGTTATATAGGCACCTCTTTAAAGTTAGAAAATATTGGCACAAGTCTTTACTTCGACGTCGGATATAGTATTTTGATTGACCCGGGACTTAATCCGGGATTAGAGAAAGCGGTCATAAATATTTTAGTTCAATAAATCGTGTATGATCGGTTTTAATGTTCTGGGTCATGAGTTGGATGTCCGACCGACATATTTGTACAACTAATAATATTACTAGAATGTATACAGTATGTACACAGTACAATATGCGAGTTAATCAAATATCGTATGTAAAAATCGAGCTTAAAATTAAGCTTAAAACTTTTATGATAAAGATACATTTCTGATTTAATCCGCGAAAACAATAACACTACACAATATTATATAGATATTGAAAGTTTTATTTATTTATAAATTAACTTTCACTTTTTATTTCACTCCACTACAGTTAAAATGTATTGAAAACGCTAACCCTGTTACTTTTAATGCATTTTCGATAGCTTTTCAAATGAACAAACTATTCTCTACCTTTTATATTCACGCCAAAGCAATATATATTTTATTCCTCTAGTAATAAAGTGTATCGGAAATGCATATCGTATGTCTGTGCGTTCCTCAAAATGCACATGCGTCGCGCGGGCCTACGCGGCTCGTAGCTCGTAGCGCTGCTACGGGCAGACGGCGCGCGAACGCCAAACCAACCGCGCGTAGACCTGCTACGACTTGCCGCGCCGAACCCCCGGAACTTTTCATACTTTTCTAATGGAACATTAGAGTTTATGTTTCAGTGTGCTGTGAATAAAAATATTATTTTGCTGACTTTTGATGTGTGAAACGAATAATAAATAAATTAGAAATAACTTAGTGATGTGTGATTATTATTTTTTATAGTAATAATTTGGAATTGTTGACAATAGTTTTAGTGTTATTATTTTGCGGAAATGTCAGATTGAAAAATGGCACCTTTAAGGATTCCGTCGAGTGATTTTTTGAGTGAGGATGCTACGTATAATTTTTCAACACATGCTAGCCAGGAGCCGCGGCACCACTGGCGTCACCACAACCACTCACACATGAGGGAGGGTCACAAGCACAGCGTGGTGGACATTCTGTCTAACTCCATCATGGAGGCGATGAACAGTAAATTTGTTCCTGACAACAGCGTGCTGCCGGACCTAGAGCCGCTGTCGACGCACATGGAGGGCGCCATGGACCGGCACCATCCTCTGAGGATGAACGTCACGCTGAACCGGTCCGACCTGGAGATGATATCTGACGAGTTCATGTACCGACACGGGGGCGCGATGACAGCAGTGTACTGCGCCGCGTACTTGCTTGTGTTTCTCGTGGGACTTATCGGGAACTGTTTCGTGATAGCTGTGGTGTATCGCTCGCCGCGAATGAGAACTGTTACCAACTTCTTTATCGTGAACCTGGCAGTCGCTGATATCCTCGTCATCGTGTTTTGTTTACCGGCCACTCTGATGTCCAACATATTTGTCCGTAAGTACCTTAGAATAATTTTGTTAAATTTTATAATGCCACTAAAAATTTCGCTAAATTCAAGAACATAATACAGACAGTGAATTGAATGTAATATGAAATGTATGTATTTTACGACGTGTTCTGCCTATAAAAATCATGTTTGGATATATTCAGTACTCGAGAAAGAATTTTTCTATCTGAATATGAACTACGATTGAATTGTGTAGCTGACAGCTAAGTCGATTTATTTTTTTCTGGGACATAAATTGTATGAGGAACATATTCCTGTCACAAAAAACAACATTTACCTTTATTTATATCGTCCCCCTATGTAATATTACATACATAATTTGTAATAGGAAATAAATTCATGCGTAATTACTGATGGTAAATGAAACAAATCGACTGTTACGTCGTAAATCAGAGATACAAATATTGGAACCTCAATTTTAATCAATTAATTTTACCGAACGTACGCTTAGGCGTGATCGGTAATAATTGCCTATTTGCTTAAAAAATAAGCCTTTAAAGTATACGTTTGCGTGTGAATATTTTGTCTGTGTATTTTTTACAGCTCGACCAGAATGTTTAGCTGATCTTAACAAGTTATAAAATTATGATATCTATCTTAAATTATCACAAGGTAAGTACTGTAGTTCTTCAATGATAATAATGATTTAAATCTTTTTATGTATGTGTGTTTGCCCTTCACTTGTCTCATCTAACTGGAAATCGCAACGCATTTCAAACGTCGCAAAATGGTTGTAAGATCTCCACACACGTACTTAGTCTGCGGGCTAATTTGAGGTTTCTTAATTGTTTTACACAATTTTCGTTTAATGTTTTTTTTCAGGGAAATCTTTGTATTTCACGACTATTGTACACTGACGACAATGAAACCACCACATTGTTGTTATGATGAAAACAATTGTTTTTATTTATAAATAATTTGCATTGTTTATTATATTACGTTTATTTGGATCATGATTCAATTAATGAAACATTTGAAGTTGATTTATTTTTGGTAGTTCTTTTTTCGGTCAATGTTAATAGGTAGGTAGTAGGTAATTTGCGTCATCAGAATAGGCGAAAATAATAAAAGATTGTAAATACGAAATTCCTGTATTGTATTTTACACCAAAAAAAACGGTTTATACTGTAATTTGATATTTGTATCTTTTATTATTCTGTATTTTATTATAATTTACCTTTATATACGACGAAATCGACATCGCTTATTGAAGTACTATAACTTTTATTTTTCTCTTAAGCGACAAATAGGCATGCTGATAGTACGCGGCACTTCTATGACCTTTTGTACGGGAAATGAACTTTGGATCCGCACTCGGCGATCTTATAACTATTTTAACACCTTTTCTAGCTAAATTACAACATAACTATTAACTCAAGGGTAGTTATCAAATACTGTCGAATTTCAGCTGTAACGTCCAGACTAGATAATTAGAATTTACGTGCTAACTATAACTCTTTACTGAAATTACCTGTAAAGGTCAACTTTTAGCAGTAAACGTTTATGAGGTGTGCCGCTAGAGGTCGGTATTACCAGTTTGGTTAATGGTTAAATAATTTACGGACTAGAGATTTTTATATGATTTATAAAAGATTCGATTATTTATCGATATCATTTTGTTTTTTTGTGTCTTATCCTGTCGTTAAATCTCTTGAAATGATCTACAATATTGATACTGAAATTCACACGAGATGGAACAAATATGGTTGAGTTACATTTTACGCGCGTGTGGGCTATTTGTAATGAGTTTGAATCGGAAAGATAAAATGAATCTGATTTTTAAAATAAATTACGTAACGAAATTGTGCCTATTATATATCCCAAAAAGGTCAGAGGGCAAATCGTATTGGAAAATGTCATTTTTACTTCATATGAAATAAAATATACGTTTTTACTATGTTTCTGGATTATATTAATCTTATATGTAATGATATGATGAAATTCCCATAAAATGTATTGAGACAAAATGCTTAAATTGGTGCTTAATTAAAGAGGATCATACTGAAACTCTTAAACTTATTTAATAAAAGCATTTGATGCTTTCATAGATCTAAGACCTAACCTTCTTAGTAAGAAAGAAATACTTTTTTTATTTATTGAAAATGTCTGTCCGTATTCTGCAGTTTTACTTGTGTAGGTATACCTAGGTAGGTAGGTAAAGGTCATTTGTTTTTATATTATGTTACGTACAAGTTGACAGGGATTTTTTAATTTTAGTTATAGATAACAACTAAATGGGGATATCTTTTTAAAGTAAGGTTTTTAGGTTTTTTTACGTTTTGATTGGAATTGATTTGTATTGTATTTCTGTTTTTACAAAAAAAATGTCTTTTTTTAAGAAATCGTGATGAATTCATTTTCTACACATAAGAGTAGTTACTATAGTTAGGAAAAGAAGGTTAATGGAACATTCTGGACGTTTTATGTTATATACTTAAATTTGTGAGTCGTAAACTTAAACCGCTTATCGATAAAACTTCCGTATATTTGACTTGAATATTCTACTATTGAGATGAGCTCGTGGGTAAGATCGGTCCAGCAATGTTTACTGCGGTTATCAGTGGATGAGCTAAGTATACATTATTATATTATGTGAAATAAAATTTTGGGCTTAACTTATATACAGTGTACCTAAATAAACAATAAGAGCTCGTCTACAATTATACCCTTAGAGATTTCACGTTTCATTACGTCTTTAAAGATAGTGAAGGTCTATTTTATACTACACATACTATTAACGTTTTTTTTATGAGATGGGTCGACAAATAGCTATTGGATCACCTGATGCCAAGCAATCAGCTCTGCCCATGGACACCTGTAATCATCGACAGCCTCTTCTCACACGGAGAAGGTTTGATCATTAATCACCACGCTTGATCAATGCGGGTTGGCGATTTCAAACTTATAATTAGTAATTATAAGTCCAGGTTTCCTCACTCAATCATAACTCGGAAAAAGTCACATTGGTACCTACAACTTTACCCACAACTTTAACCTCCGGGCCACCACGACACTCCGGAACACCTGTAATACCAAAGGAGTAATAAGTGAATTGTTGTGAGCTGTTAGGGATTAGAGGATTGGTGATAAGGGGGTTGGGAAAAGAGGAGGGATTGTCTGAGCCTCTGATAATTTGACTAGATAATAAAGCAATAGATTTTCATATAAATTTCTAGTTTGTAGGTACCAAACAACCAATAAACTTGTCAAGTTTGAATTGTTGAAGTATTTATTGATTGCTAGCGACAGCTGGTGCTGTTGATTTTATTCAGGTTCAGCTTTTCCATATATGTTGTGCTTTTCAATATCATACAGGTTTTTAAGATTTTATAACTTTTTATATTTCCTTGTTATTATTTTATAAATTGTTGCTGCTATACAAGGTATGGTTACATTAAAATAAGTAGATAATTACAAATTCTTTTTTTAAATAATTTAAACTAGTGGTTGACTGCAACCCGACTCCTGATGTTAAGCAATTAAGAAAATGTCATTTTAAACATGAAATTTTTACTTTGTATCAATGTCGTACGAAAGATTTCACATTGTGTCACCAGATAAGTAAAAATGAAATATAGTTTCGCAGTAAGTACTGATTTTTAATTGAAATGACAGACTATAAAAATAATTTTGTAGTTTCAATTTACAGAAAGCTTCCGGTAAAATAAATAAGATAATTCTTAATAGCTTCAAAATTCAAGTTCAAAAGTCGTTGTTAAACTTTTATCTGAACCTGTATATCTAATACATCTAACTCATGTGTTCGTAAATTGTAACAAAAATTGTTTGTCGGAAACCTTATCTTGTTTGAGTAACGCGCCGACACTTGATAGCCAGAGCACAGAGTCTCTTTACAACTTAGGTTCGACTTCCCGTCTAGACAGATGTGGCTACACTACCTTTTAAAAAGATATTTGTAACAAATCGAAAACTTCCTTACTTTAAAATGGTTAGACTGTTTTTACGCGACAGGTCGGGATCAGCAAACGAGCAGACGGATTACCTGATGGTAAGCAATCAGCGCCGCCTATGGATATCCGCAACAGTAGAGAAGTTACGAGTACGTTGCTAATCTTTTGGGTATTTGGAAAGGTTTGGGAGATTTAGGGATTGGGGGAGGGGAAGGATTGGGCCTTTGGTAACCTCACTCACACGGCGAAACTCAACGCTGTGTTGGTTTCTGTGAGGCCGTTGAACCACTCCAGTCGAGTGCGGTTGGCGGAGTATAATGTGAATTTGTATGTTTCTAAACGCACCCATGATACTGGGATATATCCTAGTGCCCGACAACTTTTAAGAATCTGATATCAGTCACTGATCCCAAACGGTTGCATAATATTTATGCAGTAATAACCAATTCATGATTTAAAAGTTCTATGTGACTTCTTTATGGACCGTTTCATATGTACGTATTACATTACTTGACGTTCAAAAGTGCCTTCTGTGGTCTAATTGAAATAAATGATTTTTTACTTTTTGACTTTGTCATTAAAAAAAATCAGGATTTAATAGAATACATTCGAAAAAGAAATCTTATCCATTTGTAGTGAAGGATCGAAACACCGGTTTGTAATCGTATGTCCATCGACGAGCAGCTTCAAGGACAATACACAGCGCAGTCGATTTAACAAGTCTCAGTCTCAAGTAATGGGAACTCAAACAAACTCCATTGTTGCATGTCTGTTTGTCTGTCCCTTCGATATTTGCTTTTGTGTTATTATTTTGATTGCACTGGACTTTTGAAGTTATTCTCAATATTGATTCTTCGCTCGAGAGACTACGACTTGTGAACAAATGAAATACTGTTTTTATTTTGTAAATAACTACAGGAGTTGTTTTGAAGTATCGTTTTTATATACATTGTTTTGAAGAAAAATTATAAAAGAATAATATTATTCCCAAGGTCTTTGAAATTTCCTAAGGTTATAATATCAACTGTAAAATTATAATAATATGACAAAGTCGTCCCTTTTCAGCAAGAGTCAAAAGCCTTACAGCTTCATTAGTGTCAAAACAGTTTGCTGATAAAATATTTAAATAACTTTAATGCAAAAATATTCATAAATAAACAACGTAAAAACGCAGCCTGTGGTGAATGCAAATTATTTGATTTATAACAGAATTAAATTTTTAGAATGAAAGGAAAATATAAAATGTTTCAGGCTGATGTTTTTTCAGCCTCTAAGTGAAGTGTGAAAGGGTTTAACTTTAGTTGAATAAGATCAACACTTGTCACGCACGATATTAAAGTTAACATAACTTTTTGGTATGCGTACCTAAGACTTTGTCTCGACTCTGGTATAAAAAATTTACATCGAATAATTTTTGTAAAAAGAAAACGGCAAAATTGACGCAAAGTTCTTGAAATAATTCAAAACGATCACTAAATGCTTGAGAACGATTTTCAAATAATCATATTTAAAAAAATCACTGCACTAACTTACCTACATAAACAAACTTTGTGAATTCTAAAACCATCAAAATCCGTTTGCTAAAACCAGACAAGTTTACTATTTAAAGCTAAATATTTCCATTCACCTGTACAAGTGCATCGTAGTCAAAATAAATAAGACAATTAAAG